ACGTTCTTAATTATTTGCACTGCATTCTGTTGTGAGTTCTTCCCTTTTTTCCTTCAGTATTTAAACAAAGTAAGCTATTTGCCTTTTAAATTGCAGAGAGAAAATATATTTTTCTTTCAAGATTTCAGCCCAAACAATCTCCATCTCCACCTTCCCCCCTGTGTGTGTGTGTGTGTGTGTGTGTGTGTGAAGATTCTCAGTCATCCAGGTAGAGTGCCTTCCAAGAATTGTTGTGCTGTAAGAATTGTGTTAAAATAGTTCTTAAAAAGTGGTTGATAAATAGTTTAGAACCTTATCAGAGCCAATAGAAACAGAGTTCATAAGTCTTTTATTTTTTTTAATTATTTATTATATCTTATAATTATTATATCTTATAAATTAAAAGTGAATCTTGGTGGCTGTATATTCCTCATTACATTAGGAGGGTTAAAATATAGTTAAATAAAAAACCACTAGTGACATAACAAAAATATCAGAATCTACCACACAGAGATATTACTTAAAATACTCAACAATCACATGGCAATACTACTTCAGAAGCAATTCAGTTGCTCACTTAATTCCCAAAGGCTCTTCAGAAGGCCAAGTCTTGATATCCTTCTCCAACAGAGCAATGATATGTTATTGCTTCCCCATTATCTCCAGTAGAATGCTGCTCTTGGAGAAGGAAGTCATCCCCTTTTTATGGAGAACATTCCCGTAGACTGGGGAGCCTTCAGTGCCTTACATGATAGATCTTACTAGACAGGCAGGTTCCACTCAGAGAAAGTGGTCTCAAAGATACCTAGATCCTGACATTTAAATGTGACAACCAGCACCTTGAATTGTACTGGGAAACCAGTAAAACTTCCAAAGTAGTAGTGTTAGATGGGTAATATGGGTTATATTTCTATTAGTACTCATGAAACTGCATTGAGGACCAGCTATATCTTCTAAAAGGAATTTAAAGGCAGCCTTATGTAGAATGAGTTGTGGTATATTTAGCATAAAGTGACAAAGGCATGAGTGATTGTCAAAAGAGCCTCCTGGATTAGAAATGGCTACAATAGATATCTACAAAACTACAAAGGCTCTCCTAGCCATAGTCTTGAATTGCCTTTCTAGCAGAAGCTGTGAATCCAAGAGGGATCCCAGATTGTGATCCTTCTTTGAATAGGGAAGTTCAATTATATCTAATGGTTGAATTTTATTAATGGTGAAGTTCAGTTTCACAAATGGTGAAATTTAATGGAAAATCTTGGCTTTCTGCACCCATACTCCCTCTATCTTTATGGCATTATTTGTTTTATTATTTGCTGGTAGTTCAAAAGAATAATCAATATTTGCTGATGATATAATAATAATAGCCGGCAAAATGCACCATTATCAAGTAGAAAAAGAATTGTACATTTATCTGCTTGGAAAGAACAATGAAAAAGTCCCAATACATCACGTTGACACTGCTGTGATGATGTGAGTTTGACACCCCTGTTTTAGAGTGAAATTAACACTACTGGCAGTAGGATGCATTTTGTATCTTTCCTCTATATTGTAATATAATGATCACAAAACTTGTATTTGTATTTCCTGCTAATTGGATAAAACATGGTGAACACATCACAGTTTGACCTTATTTCCATATAAAAAATCATGGTTAGTTGAAAACAACAAAAAAAATTACTTTCATCCCTCCTCTCAGTCATGCCATGATTGCAAATTCATCCATGGAGCAACGACTACATATTCAGGCAGAACTACACATTCAGGCAGAATAAAATATTGCAAGAATGATCAGCGCAAGGATGGTCTATGGATACCCACTGACTATGACCAACTTCTGAACTGAGACTGCTTCTTGACATGATACAGACAAATGACTGATGTCATCTTACACTGTACAGCATGTTGATTTCCCTGAAATTTCTAACTAGCAATATAAGTATATGGATAAACATTAAAATATTTCCTTTGTTCCTGAAGGAGATTTCCAGAATCTTAAACAATAGGTAGCAGTATTGTAAAATTACAATTGTGCCATTTGGCATTATAATACAACTATTTCCTGGTATGTTATGGAAGAAGAGAATTTTAAAAGGTCATCTAATCTATTTTCCCCCTTTGCTAAACTGGTAGGCATGGCCAGCTCATGACACATCCGCCCATAGGCTGCGAATTTGACAGCCCTGGTGTAAAACATAGCAACCCTTAGATGCAACAGTGTTTGTTCTGTTCAGTGAATGAAAACAACCAAAATGATGGTTGCAAGCTGAATATGTTTCCTAGTAAACAGATCAGCTGCAACTGTGCAAGGAGGAAATTATAGTTTGAATTCTCCAGGTTCTTCAAATAGGGCTGCGGAAGATGCATGCTTAAAATTGCTTTCATCTGACAATACTGGCAACCAATTATCTGACTTGGTGGTAGGCAAATTCTGTGGTTCATTCTGTATGCATAAAACACTCTTGTGCTGTTTCTGCCAATTTCTGTCACCTGACTTGGATTTCCAGGTATCAGTGAATTATCCGGTAGATCAGCAGCTAAAGAAATGTCTGAAATATCCAAAATGTTATCTGGAAAGAGAGCACTGAAAACTGAGTAAGAGAATGTGTTGCATTAGAAATTGGGTTATTAATTGGAGGGGGAACAATTGCAACATTTATAATATATGCATTTTAATTAATCAAGAAACTGGAGAGAGCATACTAAAAGTAATTATTTATGCTGTTTAGACAATACACTGAGATTTTAAAATTCCAGTTGGAGAGGTGGCTTTATGCAGCCAGGCAGGGTAGGAAGTGATTCAGGATGCTTTAATTACCTAATATAATAAGAGTGTAATTTATATTCTGCATTGAGTTAAGTTGTGCACTAATTACATCTATCATTCTAGTAAAAGATTAGCCTTAGGTGCTGAGTGGCACAAAATAAATAGTTTTTAAAATTACTAGAAAAATTTGATGAATAATAAACAGCAGTTATTCTGGACTATTGATTTATATTTACTGAATCAAAGAGATAAATATTTCTCCTACTTCAAAGATACATTTAAATGAAACATGTCATTTTCATCATAGTTATTCATTTGAACTAGATAATACTTGAAAACTCACACATTCAGAATATTTATTTATTTATATTTTATTCAATTTATCTGGCTGTTTGTTTGAAGCACATACTCTGGGTGATGAATACAGTTACTAACATCAGCATAATAATTCACAATGAAAAATAAAGATACACAGCAACAACAAAATAATTGGTTTCACAAACAGTCAACAATGAGCAAAGTAGAGCAACTTACAAGATGAACAGTTGTAAGTGTTCATTCTTGGACACATTCTAATGATGCATTATTTTTATTTAACAGTATTGTGTGACCTGTGCTAGATCAATGCAAAAATCCATTTTGACTTTTACTGGCCACCATCAATATAGCAATTAAAAATTGTAATAGAAAATAGTCAAATAAATAGTATTGGAAAACTGGAAAACTCTGACCATCCTAGACCAAACCAAGTCAAAAAACACTAGAGAATTCCTGGAAGTCTGGCACTCTGACATATCAGTTATAACTGGCACATAGACATAAATAGCATCTACATTCAAGGGAGATAATCAACAAGCTGAAAAAGGAACAAAAAGACTAAAACATCTCTCCATCAGTAATCAACACCCAGATGACCAGAACACCAAGATTAACATCAAACCAGCAATCAAGAACTAAACAATACCCCAATCAAGGATCTACCAAACAAGCTAATAGTAAACAGCTCAACCAAAGAACCTCCCAAAACCACTCCCACCAACACTGACAGGGCAAGCCACTAGGACCATGATGGCGAACCTATGGCACGTGTGCCGGAAGTGGCATGCAGAGCCACTTCTGCCAGCACGCAAGAGGTCACCTGGAAGAGCCCCACTGCGTATGCGCGCGTGCCCTCACCAGCCAGATGGTTATCAGGTATCTGCCACGCATGCACAGGGGGAGACACGTGTAGAAGATATGAGCGCATGCGCAGAGGCATGCGGCATGTGGGGGGGTTGCGTACGCATGTGCAGAGGTGTGTGGTGCAGGGGGGTCCTGCGTGCATGCGCAGGGGGTGGGAAGAGTCACATGCACATTGCATCATGGGTGCACTTGTGGCACGCAACATGGAAGAAGTTAGCCATCACTACACAAGAATATAGATTGAGACCAAACCCTACTCCCTACCAGCACTGATGATGTTTTCTAGTTTGGGTAATGAAACATCTGCAAGAAAACAACCAGAGAGTTGTTATCAGAGAGCACCAAGGACTTTATTTTCAGCAATGGTTCAGCCCAGTGCATACATTCTGGAGAGAGAGTTGTTCTCTTTCAGGCTCCAGCATGAGCCCGAAAGCTTGGAGGAATAAACCTTTGGTTCCAGTGATCGGAACTGGAATGGATCTTGCAATAATATCCTGGGACACATATATTTGTCTTCGTTCATAAGTATGAAATATATTTGCCACCTTGACTTATTTATAAAAAATATTAAAGGCAGGGTTAAAAAAAAAATCTTTAAAAAACCCTAAAGGAGCTTCCAAAGGCTGCATGAACAGCCTTTGCTTTCAGATACCCAGTTTTTAGGCATTTCCCTATAATTAACTAGCTATATTTAAAAGTTGCAAATGTTGTATACACTGTTCTGAGTTTAGATAATATATTCATTACCTGAGCATTTGACAATGTACATAGCACCCTATATGCTTAACACTATAGGATTACGGATTAATAGTTTTATCGGAAAATATCCACCTACCTTGAACTGGAAATTCAGTTGTTTCCAAATAGCATTCTGGAATAGATTCAAAGACATATTGTAGATGAAAGGAAAGAGGACGTTTAATTGTAAAAGTCCTTTTGTGCATTTGAAGTGCTGGCCTTAGATATTTGTCAATTAGATATTAGTCTTTGCCTTACAGAATCAACATACTTTCATGCTATAAAATATAGAACTATTTCTTTAATAAAGTATCCAAATGTTTTTCTTTTATAGGGAGGTTGATCAGGATTCTGATGGCCGTATTAGCTTCAATGAATTTGAAGCAGCAATGAAGTATGGACAAGAAAATTTGTCTCATCTTACCTGAAGTTCAATTTGTTACAAATTTGCAAAAGAACTGCCGTTTCCAAAAGCTGCAAAACATTTTTTCTTCAGCATTACAAATCTACACAGGATCCAAGGAAACAGAGAAATCCTATCCATTCAAACTTCCATGACATGTATTGACTTTGTTTAATTACTTCTTTAGTTTTGGTTCTTCTTCCTCAATATTTATGCAAAATTAATTGATACAACTGCATGAACATGGAAAAGGAAAAACAATGAAAGACTGCTTAATTAAATAAAAAAACCCAATTTATTTGAACACTTCATTCCCAGAATTCTGTCATTTCCATGAAGGCCGATCACAGTCTGGACAAACTAAATCCAGTTTTTCTATTCTGAGTTAAATAATCTGGAAGTGGGATTGGTTCTAGATGTTCTGTAAAGAGGAAACAATGGGATGCAGAATGGACTGCTAGCCTGCAAAATCTGGACAACCAGTAGGATAATAGCAGAGATAAGAAAACTCTTAGCTCCTTGTTGCCATCTACTGGTCATCCAGATTTTGTAGTCCATATCTGATAATCTTAGCTTTTGTCTCTTAGAAGCAACTGTTTGATCTGGCCATTGCTATTTTAATTGAAAGAAATGTGAAGAGAAACTGCTTGGCTCTGGATGGATGGGTTGGTTGGTTGATTTTTTTTTATATCCCACAAGACAACTCTTTCAGTCAAAATACAATCATTACCTTTTCTGTGGCTGGATATTTCACTTGAATTGCTAAAAGAGAACTGCAGCGTGAAAAAAAGAACCTAGCTCAAGCCTGTGAGCCCTATGGGCTGAATCAACATTGCATAACAGTATGAAAAGAATGCTCTGACCATGAATTAGCAGTTAGCAGGCCACCTAATACAAATATTTGTATTTTTAAACGTGCTTTGAATTTTCCACAGACAAAAGAGCTGAAACAAGAGAATGCAACACACAAATTGTGTTGAATAAGCAACAGCCTGAAAGCCATGCCTCCCAGAATCAATGAATGCAAAACAGCCATCATCAGGAAATGCCTTGGATATGATAGTGGTGACTGCTTGCTGAATGTACATGTGCACATCCACTCTGCATGCTCTTGGCTGTTCCTGTTTAGGGACACTTGCTGTGTTTAAATCTCAGCATTAGAAACCAAGGGCATAGATACCGAATATTATGCACTTTGAATAATGCGCACATACTGAGTGCATTGTGCACTCTGAACAACCTGAAACAACGTACTGCTAGAACTTTTCTGTATTCGCATCCTTTGTGTGTGGGAATATAGTCACGGTAGAGTTGCATGAGCAGAAATATCTTTAATTTTGCATCCAGCACCTGCTTTTCTTTTGAAGGTAGCATATTAATCTTCCCACCAAAATTTAGCTTCTGCACATGAATTCACACAAAACCCCTCCAGCAGTAGCTTATTTCTCAAGCAGACAGGCAACTGGGCAATGGAAAGCTGGTTTCCTCTTCCTGGCTATGTGGACTGCTGTTGGATAGATGTCTTCATGCTGCATGTCCATGTGTCATATGAGTGCATGTAACCTCAGAGCCTGCACACCCTGTTTGACCTTACCTCTAGGTCTCACTGTTACGGTTTGTTGGTGTCTGGGAAACAGGTAATTTGGAAATAGTACAAGTTCAAGAACAACTACATATATTTATTTATTTTTCATATTTCTGTAGTGCCCATCTCCCAATGGTCTCTTGACCGTATTATTTTCTTATCTAAAAAAATGGATAGCTGCATCACTTGTACAAAGGATTGTTACCAAGGAAACTTGTAAAAAGACCGCCCTAATAAATTTGGAGATAAATTGGATCCTAACAGTTAAAATATTGACAGGATTTCTGCAACCTAATCCTCCCATTTTGAATAAATCTGTTTAAAGAAACCTCTTAGTATCTTGATTTGGACTATCAAGAGTTTGACATTATCAATATCATCATTGCCCATATGTGAAGGTATAACCTGTATAATAGCAGAACCTGTAGAAGTTGTGGCTTCTCGATCTTGAGAGATTTTTAATAGGTGAGGCTTAAATCATAGTTAATTGTTTAATTGTTTTTTTCCTGAAAAGGATTAAACTAGATGAATCTTGCAATCCCTTCCAATTCTATTACATGCTAGCATGGCGCTCAAGTATTTTAGCCACTGTCTATGGAGATTCTCAGATATCCAGGTCATGGTTGTCCCAAAGTTGCTTTTTCACAAGGCAATTGGAATTCCTGGTTTTTCTTTGAAGACGTTTCGCTTCTTGGATGAGAAGCGAAACATCTTCAAAAGAAAACCAGAAAGTCCAGTTGCCTCTTGAAAAAGCACCCTTGGGACATTTTAGCCACTGTTTGAGTCCAGTGTGAAGTCAGCCTGCCAAGCCTCTGCCATTCTTGAGAGCTCACTTTCTGCTGGAGTTAATTTCCGAAGTGTTCTTAAAAATAACCAAGAGCAGAACCTAGTTCAGCATGATTCCCTGCAGTTACATTTATCACAAAGAATGGCCTAAGAAACCAGCTCGGCAATAGGTCTCATCTTCTGATTGAGGGGAGAACAACCGTGCCTTGTGTCATGATTAACCAGTTGCTTGAGCAGGTTGGCAGAATTCCAGGGGGACAGCCTTCAGAAAATCAGGTGTCCGTGTAGTAGATGATCTGGTGCCTGTCTAATGTATACTTCTCCTTTGGACTCCAGTGGAGATAGCAGTCTTTCAGCACTTTTCTGTAAAAGTGTCAGTGGCAAACTTAGTGCCAATGGAGATGATCCTGGTTTTACTTCCTTCCAAATGAAGAGCTGCCTGCACAAACAGTTGAAATCTATGAGTCAGTGCTAGCAATTTGTACCTGACAGGCTACTTTCCCATGTTTGCAAACTGTGTGTGACTATAAAGCCATCTGATTAAGATTTGGTTGTCCAGAGAAACCGGCCTAAACATTGCAGATCTTGTCTGTTGTTCATGTCGTCTGCACTACAGTAATCGCCTCTAACAGCTCAGCATGAATTAGCAGTTTAACTGTCTGGGTCCTGCATTTTGGGAAGTGCTAGTGATAGGGAGATTAGTGCACTCTCTTCACATGTCTGAGGGCATGTGAAGAACAGTGATGCCAGGACCTGTAATTCTCACTTCCTAACACCTTCTCCCTTCACCACTTGTCTGCTGAAGGGGATGTGTCAGAAGATAATTATCAAGGAAACAACATGGAGGAAGTTTCAAAATCCGTCTACTCATTTATTTATTTATTAAATTTGTTTGCAGCCCATATCACCATGAGGAGACTCCGAAGCCATGATCTGCGTGATAGCGCTGATTGTGTCTGATGCCTCTAGATCACATGCCGCTTGCTGGATGACAACTGATTTAACAATTGCGCATGGATTTTGCTGTGCTTGCGAGCAGATACTAGTTGCATAGTGCTTCCCCCTCCACCGGTGGGAAGGATACATGAAGGATTCTAGAAATTGTGCTTAAATATTTCCAAGGTTGAAAGATGCCAGGAGTAGTTCCTGCTGCTGACCTGGGACTTAGATGAAAACAGATTAGTGCCTATACTATGCTGATGCTTCTGGGTACTAATTCCACTAATTGCAAGAAGAAAACAATTTCTTGTCAGTTGAAAGGTTGTGCAAATCCTTATTTTTGTCTGCCTTTATTTCCATATCATTCTGTAGTGTTTTAATGCATTCTTATTTTGGCTTCTTTAATTATAAAATTCTTCCAATTGTAACAGTGGTCATACTTATTACTAAATATGGATTTAAGTGAATTGCTATTTACATTTCATAGAAGAAAGAGAAAACATGAAACTATTACTCTATCCTTAGTTTAAACTTGATTGAAAACTATGTTTTGCCATTCCTGCATTTTTCACTCTGGTCTTCACTATGGAAAATTCCTCCAAAATGAATTAGATCAGAAGAGAGTCAGGAAACAATGTGGCAAGGAGCAATCATGAAAATAAATACTGTCCTAAACAGCTCATAATGAAATTAGTTCACAGGATTAATTTGGGTGGTGGTGGTTTATACCATGAACCTTGAACGTGTTAAGTTATCTATGGTAGCCATGTGTGTATTGGACAGCCATTTAAATTTGTTTAACAAATAAGTCAATGTGTGTAATATTTTATAACAGAGATAGAAGCTAGATCACCTTTCCCCGGTCTGGGGCATCCTTCTAGATGTGTGGAATGATATCTAGAATCTTCATAAATGCTTATGTTTTAAGAGTGCAAATATAAAAGTTTGGAAACTTTATTTTCCACTGAGCGCAGGAAATAATAAATGGATGCAAATTGCAATGATTAATTTCATAAGAGCAGACAAGTTGTTAATTAGTAATACTTTAACCTACAATTCTAGGAAATTATTTGAAAGTTAGTGTCCCCTAAATAAGGTTTATTAGATAAAGTTTACACATTATTTAAAGAATACAACCAACACTATAAATATATCAACAAAAATGGGAAATGCATTTATGTTGATTTCAGTGAAGTCTTAAAAATGTAACTAGAAGAAAGGGATTTTTTTGTTGTCTGGATTCCTGGCGACCTCATAGATTAGTGCAGGAGCAGGGAACTATGACCCCTGTACAATCTGTGAACTTCAACTCCCATAATGTCACATTTTCTTGACAAAATTTTGGAATGGTTTGCCATTGGCTTCTTCCTGGGGCTGAAAGAGAATAACTGGCCCAAAGCCACCTAGCTGGTTTCACATCTAAGGTGGGGACTTGAAGTCATAGTCTCCTATTTCCTAGCCTGGTGCCTTAACCACTATATCAAACCAGCTTTCCAGTAGGTATATGTATGCTCCCTTATAATTCACATGTTTAAATCTAAAGAACCATTTTATCAACTTATTTTTGCCTCAAAAGTAGTTCTATAGTATGAAATAGTATGAAAAAGTATCAATATTCAATCTATTTGACTAAAAGGATTTTAAAATGTAGGTAATATATATAAATCCATGTACAGATTTGAGTGAAGATTTGTTTTTAAGGCTCTATGAGGAAATAATGGTAGAAAATATTAGTGAGATATATTTTTAAGTGATCTATTCATTGTTGGCTTAGGTTTCATTAAAAGCCAGGTATTCAAGGAATGGTATTAATTTGTTAAAAGTTGCTAGCATAAGCAGTTGGTTACAAGGCTGATAATATAAGACATTCCACCAATAAGGCAATGGCTAAAGAGGTTCAAAGAAATGTTATTTATACTGGAACTTAATACAAACTGGTGAAATTGTCTATTTTTGTTGTATCTGGATT